CATTAAACAGAAAGTAATATAAAAAAGTATGCTAAAAGGAAGGACATAGACTCGCGTGTTATATACTGTCAAACCGATGTGAGGATATCACTTCCCGACCATTGCAACATTCAATAATTTTTTTACATACGTTAATTTTCTTGTAATTATGCTTTCATGTAAAATCAAAATTGTTGGATAATTTACTTCATTAAAACCAAATTAAACAATCCTTTTTAAAATTAGTGATGCTGCGGAAGCACATACTTTCTCGCATTGTTTCTAAGTGCTCCGCAACATTATAATACTACATAAACAAGCAATAGTTTTTTCATGCAGCAAATAATTTTCTACGCTCCGAGACTGGAACTAATATCCTCAGAGCTAACGTGCCGGCACTCATACCAACATGCCGCAGAAACGCCGTATGCGTCGAACTCGGGCAAAGCTATAAAAAGGTAAATGCCTGATTCATGTAAAAAAACCTTCAACAATCAAAATATCCCTTAGAAACTCCCAAAGCCTTCGGTCCGTTCAGATCAATCAGGGAATATCAATTTCAAAGAAAATCAGCTGAACGGTTTGGCCACTGGCGTTGACCACAGATTGCTGTCAATCGATGTTTCGGTATGAAGAACAACAAAACATGGATTCTAGCTACATCACGAGTTAGAGGATTTTTTACATAAATTAAGCAACAGGATTCATCCAATTTTTCGTTACCAGAACCCGTCAATAAGTTTTTTTGGCGAAATTACGGCATTTTCTGACGCACGATTTCATAACTTTCTCTCTTACGAAGAATTCGTAAGCAGAGAAAGTAAAAAGCTATAAGTAAACACTTGTAGCAATAATAATCAATTCATTATTTAACTTAAATCGTTTCATACAAATGCACAAAACCTCAACAATTCATTCGACGATCCATAGGTTTTACAAATACAATAAGAGGTGAAAAATTGTTTAAAAGATAAAAAAATAGAAAATTACATACAGGCACTTCCAGTTTATTTATGTTGATTAACAGTATTTGCGATTATCGGACTATTAAACAAAAAAAAATAATCAAAAAATTTGGAGCAATTTTTTGAAAATTTTGAAATTATCCGAGGAGCTTCATGTGAAGTACCACCCAATATTAAAATATCGTTTTCAAATTACAGGGGCTACGACATCAGCCAGGTCGATTACGGAATATCGATTTTGGAGAAAATCGGCTGAAAGGTTTAGCCGCTAGCGTTGACTACAGACGGACAGACGTTTTGCCATCAATCAATTTTTCGGTATCAAGGACCAACAAAACGTGGATTCTTGCTACACGACGAGTTAAGGGTTTTTTCTACACTTAGCTACGGGTTTTATCAACTTTTTCGTTACCAGAACCTGGCAATAAGGTTTTTTCTGACGAAATTTCGGCCTTTTCTGACGCATGATCACATAACTTTCTCTTCTTACGAAGAATTCGTAAGACTAGAAAGTAAAATACGATATTAAAGCCTCAATTTTGATTTTTCACACTGATCAGATACAATGCCTTATTACTTAGTGTATTGCATGTTAGTGGAAGTGTGTGTAAGGAGTGAGGATAGGTCAACGAAGAGAAAGGTAAGAAGATCACGTGCTGTCGGGGCCCGTTTGTTAGGGTACTGGTGCTGTTGATCGGAGAAACCTCGGAAAGAATTTCCCTTCAGATAGCGACTGAATTTGACGTAGTTGACAAGCTAGTGTCGAAAATCCTGCCACCGTCGGGACTCGAATCTATAACCTCCCGGTCAGAGGCATTGCAGTGACATCAATTTTAATTTTGAGGGCATAGAGCCCTTGGCATATTTTCCATTTTTTTTAATGACTCCATCGATAGTGTTTAAATTTTGTTGGATAGTGTGAAGGACGTTTAAAGAATGTTTAAGGGAATGGTGCAGGTCTCATGTTCGTTAAAAACCCTGATTTTTCGAAAATTACAAAAGTTAAAAATTTTGTCGGAGTTTTCCTACAACTAAAATATTGAAGACAGAGACTTTTCCCTTAATGTATCTGTTTCTTAAAGATAGATTTTGTAATAAGGGCTTGTACAATGTTTTCAAAATTTGAGTACTTTTTGCGTAATTTAGTTCTTGCAGATTTATAAATTAATTCTTATAGATTTATGTATTTCAATATATTTTTGTAGTTGAAAATTATCACACGAAAGGGGAGTATCCCATTAGCCTTTACCAAACAAAATTATCATATAAAACGATTTCAATCTTACGAGGTGGCAACCCTAACGATGATCCTTTTGCTGTGATCCTAGCCCTAAACCGCATGTTGTGAACAGTGGCATCCGAAAAATGCGGTGATTGCCACCTGCCATTCGTCTCTTCATTGGCGTCTCGTTTTGTTGTCGGTTGAGGCGTGGTTGAGGCGTGTTTCGAGGCGATATGCGTGGGCTCACCCCCTTGGCGGGGCACATGTAGATTGCTGCGCAAAAACACGTTTTTGGAAATTTCGTAGAATCGTCTGGACGGATACGCAAACAAATCATCAGTTCCCCGCCTGGAGACAGAGGCGCGTCGAATTACCCCTCGTTGGGCTTTATTGGCGAATGAAACGGGGTCTAACCGCGAGTGTCGTGGAGTTATTCTAAGACCATATAAGTAGTGTGTAGAGAATCCATAATTTTTGGGTCCTTAATGCCACCAAATAGGTTTGTCAGCAAAAGATAAGTTTGTCCGTCTGTGCCTGTGGTCAAATGAAGCGCCTGAATCGTTCAGATGATTTTCTCCAAATGTCCCGATCGAAATGAAGGCCCTGGAGGTTTGAAATGGACATTTTAATTTCGGGAGCTACTTTCGACCTTAACATATTCAAAATTTGTTCATAAATGGTGCCAATTTTTTTAAATTAAACTTGTGTTTCGGATAGCGCAAAAGGAACTTTAAAAATGACGTAGGTTCGTTTTCGTTGAAATCTTTGCATTTTGCACTTCTCAGTTTGCAATATTTGCAAATTGAAAGTTCAGAAATGTTTCAGCGTCTTTTGACAAATTGCAATATTGAAGATAGATATTTTTTCTTCATAAAACCCCTTCTTCACAGACTGGTCTCTAAAGAAGGTTAGGTACGTAAATATGAGTAGTTTGCGCATAATATTGCATAAAATATCGGTCATTTTGAATAATTATTTTATCAAAGAAGGCTCTAAATTCTTTCCGTATTTTTTTCCTCGGATACAGCAAAGGACACTAAAAAATTGCAAGGGTGATACTTTCTGCGAACTCCGTGTATTTTCGAAAATTGCAAAACATTAACAAGGCAAAAGTACTGTATTGATGATAAACAGATTTTACTTTCTCGCTTACTGCGTGAGTGGTAGAAAGAATGTATATTAATGCTATAAAAAAGGCGATTTTTCGACAAAAAATCTCTTATTGCCGGGCTCTGGTATCGCAGAGGTAGATAAACTTTGTTCACACATGTAGTAAATTACTTCCTCATAACACTTTGTGCAATCAGAATATACGTTTTGTGAATCATTGACACTGAAAAATCGATTGACGGCAAAACGTCCATCTGTTTGTGGTCAACGCTAGCTCCCTAAACCGATCTGACAATTTTCTCCAAAATTGACGATAGTTCTCTAACCAAACTTGGGATCCTCCGTGTTTAAAAAAACGGTTATTTAAGTGTTTTGGAGTTCTTTACATAAAGTCTCAATATTTTCAAACTTTTTTTAAAAAATGGACCCACATTTCTTTTTTTAATTTTCTCCCTCTAATAGAGCAAAGTCGGCCAAAAAGTGGCGAAGGTAGCATTTTCGTTGACCTCTCGGAATGTTCGTATATTGCGTTCAAACTGTTCGGCGCCTTCCTACAACTTCAATAATGATGATAGAAGTTTTAATTTATATTGAGTCGTCAAGTTAATTGTGTCAGCGCATATTCTTTTATAAATATGTGGCCCTTACGCAGATATATCATACATGTCATTAACGAGGAAATGACATCGATGTATAAATAGTTTCTCCATGTTAGAGTTGTTAGTAAGCTCTAACGTTAAATTCGTGCACTAAAATTTAATTGTTCGTATTTATCAATTCGCCTAATAAGGGGGCGAGACGAAGGAGCAGCCACCATCCTACAGCGTATTCGTTGACCATATCTCAATGTGCGAAATGAATACGAAGAAACAGGAATCACAAGAGCATGGAGGTCTCGGGCGAGAGAGTTTGGTCGATGAAGATAGTGCAAATAGCGTTCCTTTGTTTCCAACACATGAATAACAGTGTTACTGTAAGTTATTCTTTTATATTTTAACTTATACAGTATTGTAATGATGATAATTTTTCATTTAGAAACAAAACATCGGAAGAGCAAAGACATCGATGATAAAAAATCAATGTTTAAAACATCGTTGTTTCTACAAAAAAATCGACAGCGATGTCGCATTCCTAGTTGGTATAAGAATTCAATTGTTTCCTCTTGTTTCTGGCCCTGCGATTTTCGGCGTCGTCAGGGCACTGTACCGCATCGCATATCATATACTAACTCTTATTATGTATAATTTGATTGGGTGCATGATATCCAATTATCGGTTGGTACGTAAATATATTTTTGACGAATCTGAGGAGGTTGACATAAAGCGTTGTTGTGGAATAGAAGCATCTAACGCCCAAGCGTTGTTGCCAGCTGTCATTTAACGACCTGTGCCCCAGGTCATTCCAGAATAAGTTTTGTTACTATTAATTATATTTTTTGTTTTATTTTTTCTGCTCTTGATCAGTAACAATTAAGCGCACTTAGTTCTACAGGTCTCCGGCAAGAAAGCAATTTTCAAAGCCAAGCCGCAATTCGTAAGGATTGATGCGATGCTGGCGACGCGATGGGCGAAACTTGGCGCAGACTCCGGGAGGCGGCAGAGACGGGTGCGATTGCGTCATGTTTTCCAATTCCATCCAATAATACCGCCCCGCCCTCCCCTCCCCCCCTTCCTGCTTCGCAAGAAAGTCCAACTGGAACGACGCGATGATCCTGTCTCATACACAGAGGATTGTTTGTCTCGCAAACCCTCCAGAGTGAGCACTTAGTGCCGCTCGCTTCAATGGCCACTCATCATCATCATCATCATCATCATTCATTTCTTCAGCTTTCTGTAAGCTACAACTACTACTTTTTTTTAACCTAGTACAGGTGATACACTTTCACAGTCATCATTACGAAAATTCTCCTTAAAGACTCCACCCCATCCTCATACATTTCTCTCCCTTTGTTTCCTCAGCTCTCCTTCCTTCAACTTATATTTCGAAAATATTATGCATGAAATATTTATAGACCTTATTGTGAGGTCTAATATTCTTTTAAATACGGTTCTCTAGCTTAAATATTCAAGATGCAGAACAAGTTCGAGAAACATTTCAACTTTGTCACGTATTAACTCAAAATTACACGGAAATTACTTATATTTTGAAGAAAGTGTTAATGAATGTTTTTAAAAATCTTATTTCGAAGAGTAGATTGCATTGAAAACGAAATATCTTTATTCAGTATTGAAAGTAAGATAAGTTTAAAAAATTAAACTTTTTCAAGTTTGACATTTCAAATATGTTAAAGAATCTTAGACATACGAAGTGAAAAATTCGAAGGGCCTTATTGTAAAAATATTAATTTCAAATCCATGGAGCTGCGACGTAGATCATTTTGAAATATTAATGTGGGTGAAAAATCCTTTGTACATTCAGGAGCAAGTGTTGCCACAACCAGCTAGACGGACAGGCACTTCAGTAAAACTATTTTTTTCATTATCATTGACCCACTATTCTGACTACATGTATTCGAGAAACTACGTAAATATGACTACAAATAGCAAGAAAAAGTCGTTATATAGGCATAAGTTCCTCTTTCTACGAATTAGATGTCAGGAAGTCCTTTTTATGTGATATTCCAAAACACTCATTTGATTTAAACTTTTTAATTTATTTTTTAATTTATTTTTAATATGTATTTTTTCATTTATTTATAGTCGCATCGACTGCTGGGTCATTAGCGACTTTAGTTACACTTTACAGTTACAAACGTCAAAAAATGATTTACAACTATTTCTTATATAGCGTTTAGCACACCAATTCCTATTAAAAAGTTTATAACATCATGTACACTTTCAATGTCGTCCAAACAGTTCTTGATGTTCTCAGGCAATCCAGTTCTTTCATATTGGTAACCATTACATATTATGGAGTTTTATATGTAACTAAAACGTGAAAAATGTAACGATCTAAATATTCGATTGGTACATTTATATTATAAATTTAGTGTTCATTGATATACTCTGTGAATATTGTTCTAAAACTCTTTGTGCAAAGTTGGTAATTTTTGAAGAAAATTGTATATGTTTGAGTGTCAGTTTCAGAGTTAGTGAATGAGAAAGCCTGGAATCAGTGTGTCAATGGCAACAAATGTTAAACATTTGTTTACTCTGTATTTAACACCATGTGTGTTTTATTGTCTGGTAGCTGTGTCACCGCAAATTAAGTCAAAGCGTTTATTGTAATTTTTTTAAGTGCTTCGACAAACTGTCTGCATTGTACATAAATTGCCTTCACAAATAATCTAAAATGGTAAAATGGAAGAAATTGTAATAAAGGGAAGGCGACAGTCATGCATGCAATATCACACAAAATAGCATAGGGAGCAAGCGGCGAAGCAGACAACTTACATGTTTAGTCAAGCTGAAGCTCTTAAGCCGGAAAGCAAGCAAGGCGAGAGGGAGGGTATCTTCTGGGGCGGGCCGTGCCGTGCCGAGCCGCGCCGCGCTGTGCTGCGTCGAACTGCGCTGCTGGTCGCCGCCACCCCTCCGCGTCGGATCTGCGACCACACCCTCAGTCACTCTCCATCGGCTCGCCAGCGCACGCAGCCTTCGCTCACAGAGGGTTTTGTTTTCGGCCTTGTATCAAGTTTATTTTCTTGTGTGTTTCGTTATTTTGGTTGCATGTCGAATCTCTCTAGATGCCGTGTCTGGAAAGATAGAGGCGTATAACAACCGGTGGGTGGAGAGTATGATGAAATATTCATTGCCAAAGCTGCTGTCGCTGGTTGTGTTGACTGTTTGAGATTCCCATAGGCAAATACGCCAATGTAAATATTGAGATAGAGGAATGCCCTTTTCTCTGTGAGGGCGCTTGTAAAATGATGTACTGTTTGGGCACTTTTGTTTTGCGTCTTAGCAATTGAACTCGTTTAATCGATATGAATAATTTTACATATTAATTTGTAACGGAGGAAACATTATTAAACTTCGTTTTAATGATGTCAATTTTTCACGAGATTAAAGTGTTTCAGAACTTTTCTGATCCAGCATTTAAAGGTGACAAGCCCCTGCTTTCTCTTGTGGCTCGTCTACCATTGTCATTGCCAGTCAATGCTGACTCGGCGCCTTAGGACAATCAACTTACAAAGTGTAGAAACATCTTAATAGTGAATGGTGATGGACTGGCTTATCGAGTAGAATGTTTGTAGCGGCAGGGCGACAAACCTCATTTTACGCCGCAATAGGATATTATATGTGAAGGTTCAGAATGAAAGTATTTTTCCACCACCATTGTATAATTCTGTAATTTGATGGCTGTAATTCGTTGCATAATGATACTCATGACTATACAGATTTCATTAAACTGGTTCTTGACCAATCACAGAGAAGTTTACAAAGTATTGACATTAAATTAATCATTGAGAATCGTTTTAATAATTTTTTCGTTCGATTGTGTACGTTATAATTGCATTTAATCCTATATTACGCTCGTCAGTTTTAATTTCTTTTATTACGAGTAATTTTTACGCGGTATATTATTGAAACTAAAATGGATCCTAATTTCACTTTGATCTAATTTGATGTTTGCGCATTGGTAGTGGTAGAGGGAATATTTGACTGACGTCGTGTCATTTTGTGTTATATGTTGCTGACGTGTGGTTGCCTTTACAAACCAGCCAATTCTTCACTTTAAAATGTCTAGTGAATCAGATGTTAGTTCGCATCTCCAGAAATAAGAAAAAAGCGAAAACGGTGACCTTAAAATTATTGCTGTGATTTTGTAATCTTGCAGGCGGACTGGTAAACCGGTCACCTGCAGGCGGTAGGGTAGCTGACCGCTAGGTGGCCTTGGATGAATCCTGCATGTCAACTGCCACGACACGATTCAATGAAAAATTTAAGTTATAAAAGTTACCATAAGTCGTAGAAAAAGTACCGTATGAAACTCGATGTAATGGGTATTAATACACTCGTGTAAAGTTTACGATGCTTGCTGTCGCTCGTATCGTAATATCACACGTGTGTATTAATACCATCATTTCATAATGTACTATTAATTCACTTTCGTATTATGAACGTATAGACATAGGAATATAAACAGTGAAAGAGAAATTTATGTAATGCTGCGGATTCATTGAACTGCGGATGCTACTAATCAAGATTTCAACGGAAATACACGTTCTGTGATCCACTGATATTGAAATGCTGTTTTTAACATGTTCGTTCGTTCGTTCGTTCGTGTCCGTCCGTCCGACCGACCGATCGTCTGCCCGCGCGTCTGTCCGTCTGTGAATAATACTTTCGTCTAAGCTTTTCGTAAGAATAAAAACATTATAATAATATAGTAATAATATATATATATATAATTATATATTATATAAATATATATATATTTATATATATTCCCCGGTGGGTGTGTCCCGTCTCGGATTATGCAAGTTTGAAATTCATAATTTTAGGGTACTTGATATAAAGTCCCTAGGGCATTTTCAAAATTTTCTCAAAATGGCTCCAAGAGTTTCTTTACATTTATTGTCAGAATGGAATGGAATACAGTAATAAAGATGGGGATAATCCTAATTTCACTGTTAACTCCAAATTTTCGAAAATTACAAAATTTTGATTTTTTCAGTGTCTTCTTTCAACTACAATATTCAAGATGGTGATTATTCTTCATATAAAATTTGTTCTACTCAGTTCATTCATTATCGACTTGCCATTTTTTTGAAAATACTAGTATACTTCGATTTTTCTATAGTGGCCAATGACATTAGATCATTGTTACACCTCCTGCTTATAAAATTAATCTTTTTAACAGTGGTAAGCACATTTCTGGGTAGAACGTTCGCGAATTAATTAAAAATATTCATTTTATAAGACAGGAGGTGAAACAATGGCCTAATGTCATCAGCTACTGTAGAAAAATCAAAGTATCGTTTTCGTTCAATTTTAAACGAAATATGGGCAACATTAAAAAGTATTAAAAACAGGAATTTTTCAACAACCACTCCGATGATTCAAAAATTTTAATGTAGGAATAGTGATAAATACACTAGGATGACACATATCTGTATCACTTTGTTTTTTCAAAAACTACACGAATGTAATTTTTTTTGACGTCTCACACGTCGTTAATGTTTACATTACGGGTGGTTTATATACTTTATTGCATATGTAGAAGTGCTTCAAGGTATATTTTATATTCTTTCTCGAAAATCCATAAGTTTTCTGTGAAAACGAGCTCAATTTAAGTTTTTTCAGCTCGAACGACATTGTCTAAAAAATGGCTCCAAATATTGCAACGAAAATTTGCATAAAGGACCAGTTTTCTTTCGTATTCATGAAGACATATGAATACGAAAGAAAACTCAGTCCCACCTTTATGGAACCAAATATGTGAGTAAATGTGAAGAAAAAAAATGAGATGAAGTAGATGCTGAGAGGAATGTGGGACAAAAGAGAGTTCAGAGTAGAGTGATTAAAATCTAGTACAAGAAGTTCTGTGCCACTGTGTAGCATAAAAGAAAAGAAGTATATTGTCGAAGCTTTTGTTGTAAACGCCCACAAAAATTTTGAGTACGTCGAGAAATAAAAAAAATGGTCTCGAAACAAAAGTGTCATTTTATCTGGACGTGTGTTGTCCCTGTGCTATCGTGTGGGCGGCCAAGCAAGGTTTTGGCCCTCTCGGTTGATCGCCGGACAACTGCGCGGCGGCACTGGTGGAGAGCGCGCAGCGCACGACAGACCGCCTCCGCCCCGCGACCCTTCCGAGCCCCTGCACGCGGCGCGCGAGAATAGCTCCGCAACGCGATCGCCCCGCCCCCTCCGCTCCGCTCCCGCTCTGCGAAGCAGGGCGCGCAACTGGGGCAGAACGCGGCGGCCTTGCTCTCCCTCCCTCCGTCCCTCCCGACGCTTTTGCAGTTGTCACACCTTGCTGAGATATTGCAAGCTTGACATGTGGTTTATCTTGCCCTCCCTCTCCCTTACTGTAGAGATATCTATTGGTGCTACAGAGTGGCACGGACTCTTTTGTTTTAGTATTCTATTTCCATTGGTCTCGGCTAGCTATTCGGACTTGCCACATGCTCTTGCCAGGTACAACCTTACGCCACCCAAAGTACATTGTTTAAATATTGTTTCTTAATTTGTCGGCTTTCTAATAGTAGAATGGAAATATTATTTTAAGAATATTAAAGAACAATAAAACCTCGTGCTAAATGGCACTTTTCATTGAAATATTTGGAGCCGTTTTTAAGAAAATGGCATTTATGCGCGATTGTAAATTTGAAATTTGAACCTCAAACAACACAACTCTTTAACACTAAACTACTGAGTTTTCAAACAACTTCATATGTCGTCATTTCAAGCACTTATATTCACACATGCAATAGTGCATACAAATTGCTGGAAATGTAGATGTTAAAAATGTGAGATATATTTTAAAAAAATTACATGTGTAAAATTTTTGAAACATCAAATGAATACAGCAAAATTAATTCTATTTCATTTTACACAGTATAATTAGCACTATCTGTTGGAAAAGTATGAAGAAAAAATATGAGCTCTTTTTGAGAAAATGGTGTTTAAGCGGTTCTGAAATTGCGGAATTTTGAACTAATTTTCACGGAAAACTGAAGTTTTCGGGAAACTTTATCTAACATTATTTGAAGCACATGTACTCATTAATACATTAATGTAAATAAATTGCCGCTAATGTCAATATTAACAACGTGAGAGCCGAGTCAAAAAATAGCATTTTTGTATATTTAGAAAAGCAAAAAAATAGAGCGAGATGACGTTTATGTTATGTTATAGAGTGCATTCATCGCAATTCGTATCAAAAGTTTAAAGAAAAAAAAAATTGAGAAAATCTTGTTTTTGTAAATTTAAAAGTTGCCCATTTTAAAAAAAATGCTCGCAATATTGCACGGAAACGACCAACATTTTCAAAAAATATACGTGATCTTAATGAAATAACTCACTATGGAGAACACATTTTATTTGAAGAAAAATCTATATCTTCCATTTTTTAGTTGTAGGAGGACACCAAAAAAAACATACCTTTGAAATTTTCGAAAATTCAGTTAACCGTGAAAATAGTACCATTGCCACACTTATAACTGCATGTTACTCTATTCTTACAAGAAATGTATAGAAAAAATTTGGAGCCGGTTTTGAGAAAATTTTGAAAATGTCCGGGGGCTTCATGTAAAGTAACCCCCCCTCAATTTTAAAGGACTTTTTTTAACATCTCAAAGATTCGACTCGAGCCGGATCGACACTAGTGTCTTCAATTTGGAAAAAAAATCCAACGCATGGTTTAGGCGCTAGTAGTGTTCAGAGACACGGACGTACAGACAGACGTTTTGGAAAAAATGCACCACTTACCTGTAAGTAAAAGGTATTGGAGACCCCACAATACCATGTATATCTCGTAATATTTGTGCTTAAGGTGCAATAAAACTAACATCGCACACATGTCAGTATTAAAGTCTATTTGTGTTGTTCCAAAGATGATGAAAGATTGGTGCGAGTTGTGAGGAGATTCTTTACCCGAAAATCGAGATTATTGAATTTATATGTGGATGGAAAGGTTTGAAGAATGTGACACGGATAACTCTGTCAGATGAAAAGTTTCTGAGTTAAAACGCGGTAAATAGGTCAGGAGTGAGTGAGATATTCTTTGGCCGTTCCGGAGATCTTCAAGAAATTTCAATTTCACTTCCTTGTAAGGGAGAAAGTATTGTAATGCAGAGGTAAAAATCTATTTTTTGACTGAAAAAATTGTATTGTGGGTGTTGGTACATGGGCCGTCAAATTAATTCAAAGTTTCGCCACGCTTCGAACAGCTCAGTTTCGTTGCTCTTTGAAGACATTTTAGAAGAAAAGATCATACATTTCTAACTTCCGCCTTGGAGATCAAAAAACCGCGCGAATTTCTTCCCAATTGACCAAATACTCATTTTTGTACAAAGCTCTTAGAAATCGATTTTCAACTGCTTTGGAAAATTCTTAAAAGGTTGCACCACTTTCTGGGCGGCAATAACGAAAGAGTTGCCCATTGTCAGATTTCCTGTAATCCATTTTTTTTTTCAAATCAGTCACGTCGAGCTCGCATTGTTTGAAATGCAGAGGAGCCGCTATTTCTTTATTTTTGTAGCGATCGTGCCTAGGAGCTAAGCAATATGCATATGGACTGCATTGAAAGTTGTGGAACGTTGGCAGTAAG